GATGCAGACGGCCCTTCGGGCCATCTGTATCCTATGTTCATCGAGAATCTCTGTTGTAATTTTTAAGCTCCCAGGAATTAATAATACTTATTAACTAAAACTCGAAGGTCACATCACTACTCATGACAATAATGTTGTGTAATTAAATAAATTTATAACATATTTATTAATATCAATATTTGGAAAAATAAATTTTGTTTGCATTATATCAATACAAAGATATTAAAGTGTGCGAACAACTAATGCATGTGTATTTTCTAAGAAATTTTATATTTATTAACGTGTCAAACAAAAAAAAAATTATATTTGAGTGACACCAAGGGTAAATGGAACATTGGTTTATTATTTATCATACCAGGAACGGAGTGATATGTAATATCAAGAAGTGTATGGTTTATAGGCATTTTCAGTGATACAAAATAACCGATTGGACAATGAATTAAATGCAATGAAACATGAAACTCTGCACTTAAACCTCATGATATTGCATCACTTAGCACTATATTTTATTGTTTTAACAAGTTTTTGTCGATTAAAGTGAATTACGATTATTTATAAGAAATGTGATTTTTTTTATTATTATCCTTCGGAATTGAACCAACCAAATATGGATTTGTTGTCAACTGTCTTCGGATAGTCTGTTAACAGCTTATCCGAAGCCGGTTTTAGCTGCTCTCGGAGTTGCAGTTTTTAGCTATACCGTAAATTCTCGAAATAACGGGCAGTCGAAGTATCAGGTAAATATCAGAATATAAAACTCCGATGTGCACCTGATTTACCGCTAAATATAATCTTCCCCAGCATTGCCAGAAAAATTTTTACTGTCACGTGATACTATATAAATTATTTAAGTTCGTCTATATTAGGTTAGTGTTTATCTTAGGGTCAGTATTTTGAGTTTCTAATGGTAAAATCGTTCAGGGAAAACTTTTTCTTAATGCGCAGCAAGTGAGTTTTTATGTAAATTTTGAGTTATGGGCGATTATTGCTAAACGAACGTTTGTTTTGATCGCGCAACTTTACACCAAATCGTGGTTCATTATTGGCTTATTTTTGTCGATCATCATGTGACAGTAAAAATTACATACGTAGTAATTTTTCTGGCGATCCTGGGTAGTTCTAAATATAGCATATCAGTAACATCTTGTATCCGATATTTGATACTTATTCATTCGATCTGTTTATTACATTAGTGACAATCGGATTGCAGAATTAATCTCTAAATAACGCCCATGGGCGTATTCGAAATAACGCGCACGTAGTCAAAATAGCGCGCAGATGCCCGCTATTTCGAGAATTTATGGTAGTCATCAGCTGCAACTGAATCGGCTTTTTAAAAGTCATGCTCCAGATTAAGCCATAGTTAGTGAAACCACAACTTGTGTCATGACTATTTTAAGAAGCCACACAAGTATTAACAGCCCTAAAAATCTTTAATAGGCTAAAATTAGTCTAGCAAAACTCTTCGTCATATAATGTCGGGTTTTCACATGATATTTATTCTTATTTAATTAATTGAATATTATCAATCAATATATTAACTAATTTCTCGTTTAAACTTTTATTAATATTGATTTAAGATTCTCTCAAGATATAAATTAATAGTTTAACCGGTAAGTAGGTTCATTATCGCGATGAAAAAAAAAGGGTGAAGCCACCTACCTTTTTTGTCATAGACTTGTTCTGATTGACTAAAATTTATTATCCAAATTTCGCGTTATGAATCTTCAGCAAAGTTACAGTAAGGATCGCTTCAATTGATCATAGTAATTTATGCAAGTTCTCGGTAATTAGCTAATCACATTGAGAGCAATCTTAGTCTCTAAGTGTGATTATTTATTGGCCTAGTTTATTTAAGTAATTAATATGAGCTATTTACTTCTCATTTAGCCTCTTATCCACATCAGTCTGTATATTATCATCTGCCAAGAACATTTCTAAATTATGCAGATTAGTATGACCAGATCCATACGGTATAGTGTGTGAAATACCTCTATTTTTAATATCTGTTCCGGCGTTATGTATTATTTGAGTTAGCATTATAAAATTATATGATATGCTTTTTAAAGAAGTACTTTACACTCTATACTTATATACATTTTAAAATCTTATGAAATTTCTTGTTTAAATTATAGCGTCTCTATCAATATAGTTATCTGTATTTAGTTGTATGTCCGATATTTATTTATCTGAGCTCAAAACTATATACTACTTTGTATTTGAGTTGTCCTAAATTTCTAAATTAAGCTTAAATTCATCCGTTCCTCGACAATGTCGCACAGCTACTTATTTAAATAAATAACCAGTTATCCCTTAAACTGTCAATTTAACTTTAGAACTACACTAATGTCCCATTTCCCTCAACGTCCCTCATTTATAATCAAAATAGATACAAATCCGTGCAACATGTCCAATCAAACCAATTTTTATAAACAAAGAATTAAGCCCTCATTTATAGTTAGGGTAAAGGTGAGTTTGAGATGGGGCGAGAGTTAGTTTATATCAAAATTTCACGAGGAATATTTTTTGCTAGAACTCAAAAGGTTGTTTCATAATCAAAATTTTAGTGAAAGCAATAATTTTATGTTACACCTGATCGTGAAACCTGATTAACTTCTTATAATACCCATGTATCATACACGTAGTATACAATAGAAATTCTTTTATTTAAATACACCCTATAAAAAAAGTCGATCCGTATTTTATATTCCATGATTTTTCCGTAAATATTGCATATTCACGGAATTTATAACCGCAAATCATGGAGATTATTCGGATTGTCTAGATTTTGTCGATCAGTTGCAGATTCACAAAAAATATGGAAAAAATATGGAAATATTCGGATAAAATTTTTTACAGGAAAGAACTTTTGTTGTTAACATCGGATAGGGTTCGTCAATAGAAACAGCCCATTTTTACATAAACAAAATTTTGAGTAAATAATGACTTATATATAATAACACATAGAAAACTCTTTTATTGAATGTATATGTCGTAAGTGGATTCGAAATTTTATAAAAGCCAGCATTTTAGGGTTAATCTCATAATATGTACACCCTTACCCCTAATTTAACTAGTAAATTCCGGATCCACTTAAATTCCGTTCCTACTTACAACATATAATTTATCTATTTAAAAATCAAATAAAAAATTTTTTTTTAAAAATGTAAAAATGGGCTGTTTCTATTGACGACACCCCATTTATTTTTATTTATTGTATTTTTTATATAAGTTATAAAAATGACTTGCACAATTACCTACGCTATTTTTGACTAATGGGTATATATATATGTACTATTCTGTACTAAATTTTATATTATATCGGTGTATCTGTGATACTTTTTTGGTCAAGAAGCATTATATTATACATCCTTTTTTTCTCATTATCTTAAAAGAAAAAAATGTACATTTTATTAATTTTTTCATTTTTTATAACTTTAATAACTTTTAATAATATCAACATCGTGAATTGTTGGCCTGAAAATAGTTATGTGCCATTTTTTATTGCGGATAAATTATATTATGTTGGAAATAATGAAACTTTCTATATAGATTTAGTGGATGTGTCATTAGATAATAATACAATTGTTTATGCACCTAAATGGTTTAATATTAACGTATCTGAATCAAATATCGATTACCCAAGCAATCCATTTTTAGGTGGTAAAGCAAATGACAAAATTTTCTTCATTGATGATCCCGATTCAGAAGGGGCTCAATCTCATGTATTATTGGATGCATTTAACACTACATTAAAAAAATGGGAAAGAAACATTAGTTGTCAAGGAACTCCCAACTATTTTATTAATTCAGATTATATTAACTGGGTTTCTGATGAACAAGCCGGTAAATCCTACATTTATCGTTATGTAGATGATGATGAGAATTTAACAATATTTGATAGCATCAATTTAGTCTGGAAAAATAGCACTTCAAATCCTCAAAATTTACTTCAAAGCATATTAGGTTCATCTCAAATCTTCGCTAGGTATCATAATTTTGTTCAGGTTTTGTCAGCATGTGATAAAATTTTTTATATTGGTGGAACGATTTCTGTAAATTCCGGAAGCTCTTACAATAGCAATAGTCAATTTATGCCGATGAGTAGTATTTTAGCATATAATATTATGTTAGATTCATGGCTAATCAATGTATGAGATTTTATTATTATTCAATCTGTTAGAAGTTATTAACGATTATTGCTAAATAGTCAATTTGTAGAATGCGACAGGTAAAGAAATTGAAGGGCGTACGGGTCATACAGCTGTTATGAGTAAGTATCAAATCAATTAAAATACCATCTTAAAACTTTTATTTAATCTTTCACTTCTTCCTTAGCTTCAGATAAACGTATTATTGTATATGGTGGAATGAATATACTGAGATCAGCTTTTCCATACTTGGCAGTCTTGGATACCTCAAAAATACCTTATGAATGGTCGACACCGACAGAAGAAAATCCTATTGGCCCTATAACTGAACATTCGTCTATTATTATCAAAAACTATATGATCACAGCATTTGGTAATTAAGTTATTTGTGTGTGTATAATAAATTAAAAGAGTTAATAACGTTATTTGCTTTTTAACTTTAAAGGTAGAAACTTATCAGAGAGGGACTCTGAAAAATATGACATTAAAAATGTTTATAAGTTGAATATATCAAACCCATTAAGTTATAAATGGTCATTATTAGCTACTCCTAATAACCAATCTAATTCTGTAGATAATAGTGATAGTTTTGATTTATTTAATACAGAGACTACTGGATTAAGTATACGCTGGATCGTTACAATAATTGTTATAGTAGCTGCAATTATATTTTTATTAATATTCATAATTCATAAAATAATTCAACGTAAAATAAGGTCTCGATCAAATACCTTAAACACTTCTATTGATGATAAATCATCTGTAAAAGATTAACTTAATTTCACTATATATTCATTTAAATATAATAATCATATTTATTGAATATTTTTAATTAATAAATACATAATAAAATATTTAGGTAGATTCAAAAGACAAAGATAACTTAGGCATCATTTTGTTAAATGATTACTAATTAACGTACAGTCTATAATACATCATTTTATTTCAATTTTATGTTGTTATTTTAATCAATTTTAAAACTAAATCCACCCTAGTTTAATTTGAATGTCTGAAAAAAATAAATTTATTTTCGAATATCCAGATCTCTCAGCGACGAGTTCTTGTAAAGTACAGTACATCCACTATTTCATTCTCTTCTTCAGATACAATAATATTTAAACGAAGATTTAAAGAAATTAAGGTGATGTTCTTGCAATACACAACAGCTATTGCTTTGCTCTATTATTTTCAAGATTCAAAGAAATTAAGAATATGTGCTTGCAGAGTACATTTGCTAATGTTCCCCTCAAGACCATTTGATTCAAGATTCAAAATTTTCAGCGTTGAGTTCCTGCGAAGTGCATCTGCTAATGCCTTTCCTCCGTATAATTCGATATTATTGCATCTAAGATCCAAAGAAGTCAGTATGATATTTTTTCAAAGTGCATTTGCTTATACTTTTTCCTCTTTTTGATCCAAGATTATTTTTCATTTGATACTTTTTTTCGACCAATTTTTTTTTTTTTTGATTTTTTGAATAGATATATATTCAATAAAAAAGGTTGCCAACTAAGATTCAAATATTTCAACGTGGTGTTCATGCAAAGTGTATCAACCCACATTTATTCCAAGAAAGATGAAGCACTTTCTTGATCATCAGGGTATGCTGGTCGTCTTTAAGAATTTCTTCAAAAAATGCTTTGAGAAATTGCACCGCTCAAAATATCCTTTCTCAAATTCTCAATATTCTGCGCTGAAGCTGACGTCGTAATTTTAAGTGAATTGACAAGCGTACTTATGTTGTTTTGACGATTTGAAGAAGTTTCACGGTATTGAAATGATGTTTCAATAGGGAAATACTTATTTTGTGCCAGTGAAAAAGAGAAATTTAACAATACCTGTAATTAATAATTCAAGTGCATTGTTATAATTTGCTTTTTTAGGTTTAGCCTAACAACCATAGTCCATAGTACAGTCAAACCTAAGTTGTATCTCCACTAAGTTATACGTATCCCCACTATTTAGCAGAAAAAATATCCTTTATCCGACAAACACTTAGGATCATGAAATTATTTCTCATAATTTCTTCATGTATTGCGATGTAATCATGTTATTCAAATTAAAATTCATCTATTTGTTGCGTCTTAATGAACTTACTTTATATATGAGTCTGCATGTTTTGGTAAATTGAACGGTAATTCACTAATTATTTATCAGATTCTAAAAACTTTTCTGTAGTTTCATCTATGTTATCCAAACCTTTTATTTGTTAATTTGTCTTTCAATTTCGTCTACATCAAATTCGTCTGCATCATCCAAACTTTTTATTTTATCAAGCTAACATCTAATTTCATGTTTTTTTTTTGATTCATTTATATTATCCGAAAGTTTTATTTCATGGCCAACATTTAATTTTATGTTTCATGATTTCGTTTACGTAATCTGAACCTTTTATTTCATCAAGCTGATCATTAATTTGTTTTTAACTTCGTCCATGTCTTCTGAATCATTTAGTTTATCAAGAGTCGTTTTATAATTTCGTCTACGTAATCTGAAACTTTTATTTCAAAAGCCAATATTTAATTTCATCATTTATAATTCGTTTACTTCATCCGAACTTTATTCGTCTACGTTATATTAACCTTGCATTTTATTATGCCAACAAGCAATTTCACGATTTTTAATTTCGTCCACATTATATACCTTTTATTTTGTCAAGCTCATATTTAATTTTACGTTTTATAACTTCGTTTACGTAATATGAGCCCTTTATTTTACCAAGCCAATCATTAATTTCATTATGAATATTGTAAGTAGTATGTCGTATTTGATTTTGATTAATACTTCGTTTTGCCAATTCGATATAGCATTTGCGTAATCCAGTGTAAATTTTTTCGCAAGATTGTGATCAAATCCTTATCCATCAAATGAACTTGCCCATTCGACATTTCTGACTAAAATACCAAAGCTGTAAATATCCACTTTTGCCATAAATTGTTGTTCGCCTGATGGCATAACTTCATAAATCTTAATTTTTGAGAAATTTTCATCTTCCTTTATGGATAGTCCTAGGTCTGATATAAGATTGCATACTTTTATCTAGTGAAATATTGTCATTATAGGGATCTCTATTAATATACCCTGCATTATGAATGTCACGTAACTCCTCCGAAATACCAATAATTTTAATTTAGTCTGTCATGTAAGTTTCTTAAATTCTGTCCTTAAATATTGGTCAAGATTCCCTATCGGCATACTGAGCTACCATCATGTATTCATTAGTTTTTTATATGCCGAGTAAGGTCATAGACCTTAAGTTTGATAACCATTAAACTACTTGTAAACTTATACGAGCTAATAATTATTGTAATATTCTTAATGCTGGATTATTGATGAAATTTGATAAAACTAAACCCATTTAAACATTTGTTCAGGTTTTTTAGAGATATTTAGATGTCTATTTATAGATATTCAATTTTACCTGAATTTTGCTATATGTATGGATATGCGGCGTAATGATTATTTATAAACTTGGATTGCATCAGCTTTTTCTTGAATATAGTGCAATTTTTCTTTGGCTTGTGCTATTTCTATGCAGGAATTTACAGTCAATATTTCCTTTCAATTTTATGAAAGAAGATTTTCGTCCAGCCTTTTTTATAAAGATATATTTTCAGACACTGTAATAGCAAAGTATAATTACAATTGCTATTGCTTTTTCAATAGTTGTTATGCGTTTAAATATAAAACCTAGGGTGCAATGGGGTGATAAAGAGGCTTCTTTTAGTTCCTTTATTAGTTTTTTTTTTTTTTTTTTACCTAGACTTACGAATATGTTTCTCGGTTTGTCTTTTTTCTCTTGTCGGATTTTTTACCGGACAGATGAATTGATAATCACTGATCGTCAAAGACCATAATGAAAGATCGTAGCGAAGGAATTTGATAATCATTTAAATTGTACCCATGTGATTACGAAACACGATTTATACTTGATTCTGCAATATGACGTATCAATAAGCAAAAAAAAGCGTAAAGTTTTAATGTATATTGCAACATAAATAAAATATACACTGGGTTGAAAAAAAAAAATTGAGCGAAGCAAGGCCGAGAGTTATATTGTAGAGAAAAAATGTTACAACATAAATAAAATATAATGGATTAAAAAAAGCAAGACCGGAAATTATAAAAAAATTTGTTAATGATGTTTACGATTTAAAAAAAAAAATGTAGAACTAGATTTGCAAGAGGGCGAACGAAGCGGTAATATATTATTTATTTACCTTTATATTTATATTTAAAACTTATCTTATGTGCTAATACTAAGTTCTTTTATTTTATTTAAAAGGAAGTAAATTAAACCATTTTAAAAATAAATTATTATCACATCAGCTGCTATACCTAACTATTAGTTTGAACTGGGCGGCGCAAGTGCAATTTCTAGTTAATTTTAAAATAGAATGTTCATATAGTATAGCTGATCAAAATCTTGGATCTGCCGCGCATTTTTTTGTGCGGAACCTAAGTTCAATTCGAAAATTACTATTACGACGTTCCCTCGAAAAAATTTTAAATCTCTATGCTCACACTATACGATTTCATCTTGGCTAGATTCCCCCATGCGAGATGCAATCATATTTTCTTTGTAGTCATAAATATGTAATTTATTATTAGGTGAATGGTTGGTTTGGGGGGGAATATTTCTTTAGAGTCTAGATGTTCTAATATAGAAGGCCGTAATGAATCTACTTATATTCTTCATTCTATATAAATAAAGTCAGCTGATCGAGCAATAATAAAAAGCATTTATGGGAATAATCTGCAGTTATAGCAATAAAATATTAGAAGATTAAAACATAAAACTAAAATATTAAACCATTAAAAACAAACACCAAGACAGTAAATCACAAAAGGGTTTACCACAAACGTATATTAGTACGTAATATGCAGTTGCAATTACAATTTCAACTAATCGATCGATCGAAAAATTTTTTACTAATTTGAGAACATTACAATAAACAGTGTCACAAAAAGGCAACGAAAAATTTTATACTGACTTCTGACATCATTGAAAGATTTCATTTTATCAATCATAAGTACAGTTATTTACTTGTGTATCTATACATAATTTATTTGGTACGACTGATGTTAAAATTGCTATAATCGAAATCTAAACAGCTTTCTCGTCAATAATGTGAATAATGTGAGCAATTAGTTAGGCCTACCGAAATAGATTGTGGGGCGTAGATTGTAAATAGATTTTTCACTATTAAAATATAGAGTCACAGTATACGCGCTCTCGTGATATAATTGCAATAATTTCTTCACTAATTGGAGTTGCAATTAATTTCATGAAAATTTTAATTGATCTTAACTGGATTTGGTCATTAATATTTTAGGTACCAATCATTTGATTTCCTTTATATTGTCATATCCGAATTCTTATCATCTGAAACCATCTATATTTTATTATTTCTTTACGAAATATACACTCATATAATCATTTTCTGAGAAAGCCAAGTCTCAGAAAACTATTCATTTACAAGATGCATAAAATTATATTAATCTTAACGTTATTATATTTAATAAATATCTCAAACATTTATACCCAAGAATACGGTTATGTCACGGATACTAGATGATATTTATAGTCTTGCTGACTTTATTAATGAGGGGTTTCAGAATAATATGCAAGAATCTATTCGTCTTTCAATAAATTTG